CTACTTAGAAAATGAAAAGACACAAAGAAACAGTTGTATTCATACAAAGGAGAGATGTAGTGAAAGCAGTCAAAGGATACAATGCAAAGTCAGACAGAATCATGTCAATAAGGCTTGAGAGGGGTGAAACACACTGTCAAAATGAAACGGCTTCCAACCACTTTGGAGGCATGGCATTTAGACACACACCTCCAATAGCTGGAAGCCATGCCAAACCTACATTCTGAGCCTTAGGACTGGAGCAAAAAGGAGCTGGGATAATCCAGCTCCTGTTGGCACTGGTCGGCTGCTGAGTGCATGGCCTGCCTTGGGAGCAGGCCATATGGTCACCGGGGTTCCAACCACTTCTGGCCAGAGTGGACTCAGATAACTCTTTCATGTCCATCTACTCTGGCCCAAAGAAAACCTATAAATTTCACAATAGTTGAAGTATATACAATAACCAAAGAGGCAGAGAAAGAAGAAATTGAAAGATTATATGAAGGAGTCCAAGAAGAAATGGCAAGCTAATCAAGATTTCAATAGATGACTGGGATGCTAAAATTAGGGCAAAGAAAATCTAAAACAGTAGGAAGATTGAGATTAGGCATGAGAAATGAAGCAAGGGAGCGACTGATAGAATTTTGTGAGGTCAACAACCTAACAATTGTAAATACCTTCTTCATACAACAAGAGAGGAAACTATATGCATGGGCACCAGATGGCCAATAAAAAAACCCCAGATAGACTACATAACTGGAAGCAAAAGATAGAGAAGCTATATTCTTGTGGCCAAAACTGGACCAGGTGTTGACTGCAGAAATAACCAATGCAGAGATCATGAACTACTCATAGCAAAAATTAGATTAAAGCTGAAGAAATAAACAAAAAAACAGTCATCATACCAAACAATGTAAGAAATAGATTTCAATCGGAAATCAGAAGAACTATGGACAGAAGCCAAGGACATAGAGAAAAATGCAAAAAGGCACTAACAGCAGCCAAAAAGAGAAGAAACAACTGCTTACAGAGGAAATGCTTCAAGCAGTAAAAGAAAAAAGAGAAGCAAAATATAAATTAAATGGATAAATAAATAAAATACCTGAATGAACCCAAAGCATCCATGATCCCTTCATTATTCTTTACAGCATTAGAGAAAAGGAACCAGCATGCTTTTTGTTGTTGTTTTTGAAAACTTTATTCATCATCTCCTACACCACACTATTCATTTGCCTTTCAGATATCTTGTATATTAGAGTATAAAAATAAATTGTGCAAATTTTAGTAAAGAAAGCTAACGTCAGAAATGTCAGAAAGAAACTCTTCTAGAACATGGCCACACAGACCAAAAACCCCACAAAAAACTATGGATGCCGGCCATGAAAGCCTACGACTTCACAAAGAAGGCTAAGTTAATTTCAGCTACAGGACACTGATTTACTGCAGATACAGCAAAACCTGCATTGGATACAAAAAATAATTTTCAGCACAATTGCATGATTGTATGCACTCTGGCTCCCTACATCATAGCAAGAAACAATAATAATTTTAAAAAGACCAAACATAAATCTTGCTAATTTAGCTCCAAAAGACAAATCTGGGTAGATTTTTTTTAACTAAAGGAAAGCAAAAAATGAAAGAAAAAAATTAGAAGAATGGTAGGGAGTAAATTTAGTTGTATATAACTTTTGCTTTACAATTATAATCTTACCAACCCCTCAAAGTATGGGAATGAGTTAAAAGCAGTTTCTAAAAGTAAGAATTTGGTGAAATTACTTTGGAGACAAAAAATAAATTCACTTAAACCCATTTCTTCTATCTGTCTTCTCAGAGGTATAGGGATGGGGATGAGGAAAACTTTTCCCTTGATTGTGCAAGTGCTCTGCATTGTGTGAGCAATAATAAATACAGTAGGCTCTTTGTATCCATGGACTTGCCATGCACAGATTCTAGCATCCATGGACAGCAACCCCATGGGGGGAGTGGCAGAGGAGAAGGAAGAGGTGGAGTTGGCAGTGGGAAGAGGAGAAGCAGGAGGGAGGGAGGGAGGGAGGAGGAGGAAAAGGCAGGGGTGGCAGAGAAAACAAAATCACAGCTGTTCCCCCTTAGGAGTCAGACAGTGAGCTCTCCTTGGGAGTTGGGGGTCCCCCATCCATCTGTGGCATACCTGGTAGTGCTGACAGTGGATCTGACCTGGAGGGAAGAAATGTTCTCCTGACTGCCCTGTCCCACCTCTACTCCAGAACAGAGGACCCCTGGGCATGGGCAGAGTGCCAGTGGTCTCTGGAGCCCCTGAGAAGCCATTGTCAGAGGTCCCAGAACCAGGAAGGGAGCCCCTTCCAGGCCCAAAACTGTGGAAAAAAGAGACAGACACCTCAGGTTTTTATTTGGGGGAGCTCTTACTTGCCCCTCCCCTCCTTCCTGGGGTAGAGGCTGCCCCAAGTGATGCTCTCTTGGCATGCACAGGAGGGGAGGTGGAGGGTCTTTCTTGGGCTGGGCTATTTTCCCTTGCAGGGAAAATTCTGCTTCCTAGGGCTCTCCCACTTGTCCCCCATGGCTCTGCACCCCCCTTTCCTGGCCCTACAGAGCCTCCCACCAGAGTCAAAGAGGAGGAGGAGGAGGAGGAGGAGGAGGAGGAACAAGAAGGGGGAGAAGGAGGCCAGAAGGAAGAAAGAGGAGCAGGAGGAGCAGCTTCCTGTCACCCAACACAGGAAGAAGAAGAAGAAGAAGAAGAAGAAGAAGAAGAAGAAGAAGAAGAAGAAGAAGAAGAAGAAGAAGAAGAATTTTTATTTCTATCCTGCCCCTCTGCAGTGCAATCGGGGTGGAGTACAACAAATTAAAAAACATCACAACAAGTGAAAACAAGATCCAACAACCCATTCTCTAACCCACCCACCCCTTAAAAATATATTAAACTAATGGAAAATTAAAATAAAATAAAAACAAACAATTATTTAAAAATAGCAGCACGCCTAAACAATGGTAGTGGAGGAGCGAATGGCCAGAGTCTTTGTCTGGGGGGTTGTGGGATTTGTATGGTATTTTAATATTGTATGATGTTTTTAAATTGTTGTGAGTCGCCTCGATTGCGTGGCAGAGAGGCAGGATATAAATAAAATGTATTATTATTATTATTATTATTATTATTATTATTATTATTATTATTATTAATCTTCTGGGCTGGGACATTATTCAGGGAAGGCCTGCCGGAAAAGATCCATCTTTAGTGCTTTTTTAAAGCAGTCAAGAATGGAAATGAGATGGATCTCATCCGGCAGGCCATTCCATAATCTGGGAGTGGAGGTAGAGAAAGTCCTCTGGGAAGTCACCGACAACCTAGTTCTCATAGGCTGTAATAGGTTCCTCCCAGAGAACCGAAGCTGGGGCAGAAAAGTCCCATTGGTGGTACAACTGTGTGACTACACCACCACTGAAAACAATGGAACTTGACCATCCACAGATTTTGGTATCGATGCAGGGATCCAGAATGGATCCTATGTGGATACCAAGGGCCCACTGTACAGTGAAAGATTATAAAAAAAATTCAATGACACTTATTTCTCAATAGACATTGGATGGCCATGAGTTTAGTTAAAGGAATCACTTGGATCAAAATCGTGAGCCTTACTGCATCACTCAAAACCAATTACTGAATTAGTGTGGATAGAAAACAAAATCAAGAGAAGTGGGACCGTAGAGAGGATTTTCACTTACATGTCCATATATCCAGCACTGTGTGATAAAAAAATTAAAGGAGTAAAAGGGGGTTAATTGTAACCCTATCCAAATAATAATGTACAGCGTTGTATTTTAATTCAGTAATATACAATAGAAACAAGAATAAAACCAATAAAGGAAGAGAATTGAAATATCACCAAAATCCTCACATAGAAGAACACAAATAATGTACAACTCAAGGTCTAAGCAAACAAATTAGTCTCTTACTCCATTTCATTCTATAACAGGACTTTCCTCCCTTCATTTTCATTGTTCAATAAATCCCCAATTCCAAGTCTTCTTCTGCTGGGTTCTAGTGTCTTTAATTAGAGCCATGTGATATATGTTTTCTCATCCTAATCTTTCCTCTCCTTAGGCCTTCATTTGTTAATAAATTTGCCAAAGTAAGAGTCACCCTGTCTAACAAGTTCTATAAATCAGCATGATTATGCAAGCAGCATTACACCACGTTGAAGCTGTGCACCTGGGTGGCCACCAAAGAAGTAACATGAAGCTCTATGTAGGCGGGAGACTTCTCTCTCCCCCTCCAGAAGCTGGCAAATATGACAAAAGGCAGATATTTCTCAAGGAGGTTCTTTAATCTTCGTTCCTCCATGTACAAGCTTGTCCTGACCGACAAAGCTATTCGCATTACACCATATACCAATGATCCTCACACTGTACAATAATGCTCCTCACTTATATGCATTATCCCCTCCAGAGATATCTAGCCCAGCCCACTCACCTGGTTGATGCAACACAGCAGGATTGCATGCGTCTGACTCAATTTCTGCTTGGGGTTGCATCAGCCCCCAGTGACTCAGCACATCATGCTGGCACTTTATGGCTGCTCCATTGCTCAAGGTAACTCTGTTACCTTTTATCCCATATCTGAATATTTTCCCCAGGATCCATTCCTTGACAGTTCTAATGTTATGAAACTAAATAAGCTATTAAAGCATGGGATTAACACTTTGGTGTTATTCAGGAAACCTAATAAATTAGGCCATGCAGATAGAAAAATCTAGCCAGTTCTTTTCCATCTTTGATGAAAGTAAATCAAAACTAGGATCTTGAGGGACAAGTCTAGTGAAGGGGAATCAGTGCAAAAACACGTTCTGATAAGCATGTTCTCTTGTTCCAGTAGCAATTCATAATGGATGCAAAAAGAAAGTAAATTGAATGGCTAAAATCATGAATGCATCACTGCTCTGTAAAAGTATAAAGATATAATACAAATATATTACATTATAAAATATATACACATACACACACACACACACACTAAAAAGTTATTAAAAAGAGCCAATGTGACATAGTGGTTTGAGTGTTGGACCACACCTCTGGAGACCAGGGTTCAAATCCCTCCTTGGCCTGTGTAAACCCACTGAGTGACCTTGCACAAGTCACACACTCTCAGCCTCAGGGAAAGGCAATGACAAACCTCCTCTGAACAAATCTTGCAAAGAAAACCCCCATGAGAGGTTTGCCTTTTGATCACCATAAGTCAGAAATGACATGAAGGCACACAATGATGATATTAAAAAGTTACAGCTGCACAGTAAAAGAAAAAGGGTTTCCTTTGTTAAATTACAATTGTCATACAACTTTGTACTTCTGAATGGAAAAGGATCAATTTATCAGAAGTAGTTATTTGTTAATATTTGCTTCTGAGATTTGATGCTGAACCTGGAGCCTCCTTTATCAAAGACTACAGAAGAAATAAGGCTATATTGTTTTTCTATAATGTTATCTTCATTCCAAATATGTCTTGTCTGAAGATTCGGTCCTAGATTAACCCCAAATCAACTCAACCAGATTAGACCTGCTAGATCAATGGGATTTACACAATTGGTTTAACATTTAGTGTTGATTCAATAGGTCTTCCTAATTGGAACTAGCAATTGGTCTACTTAGGTGTCATTGGCTTTATTATCATCCATCTTAACTTCATTGTTCTTAATTTCAGTTGGAAGTAAACTGCCAATATTAATGGACTCTCTTGAGTTCTTTTCACTGGGTGATTACACTCTCTCTCTCTCTCTCACCCTCTCACCCTCATTTAAATTAATTAGTAATCATTACTTTGATCTAAAGAATGGATTCACCATGACAGACTGAGTAGATGATAGGCAAGGGGATGATTCATCTCTGAATTACTAATTTAACTGTAATTCTGCATTGCTAAGAAAGCAGTAATTCCATCCTTTGTCATTTCTGTTCTGTTCTGGTCTTTTTTTGTTCTTTTGATACTATGCTATGCAAATGGTGTTTATTTTAGGGGTTACTAAAGAATGTTTGGTATTCCTTGATTGCATTAACATGAAAGCATGCAGAATACGCAGAATATGAAGAGGAAAAAATGGGAAAGCAGCAGAAGACACTGAAGGTTTTAGAGATGGTAAAATGAATAGGGGGAAAAAATGCAATTAAGCCAATTCTGCATGTAATGCAGAATCACAATAAATAATAATGTCAGAATTGCAAAGATCATGGCAGTATGAAATTCTTTCCATTTTTTTTTTGTAAATTAGAGTCCTAGAAGTGCCACTGTTCAAGAAAGAAAAAATACATACATGAAAGAATCAGTCAAAAGTTTGTGCAAATCCACAAGTGCCATAATCATAATTTTGTTTTTTTCTCCTCTGTGCTAAATGTCTGTAGGAATCATTAGCCACTGGTCTTAAATGAGTGATATTCAATGAATAACAGATGTGCCCTACACAGAAAGTTGGATGTGGCTCAGGTAAGTTACATCCATTACTTTCAGAATATTCCACTCTCAAGTGTTGTAATTTTTCCCCAATACAATTTCACCATTACCATAGCTTTTCTATTTTTTATTTAAAAAATACATCATTTCCTTTACATATTACAACTAGACACTATGAAAAATTGAGAAATAGATATCACGTACCTCACAAAATTTGTCTGTAAAATTTTAAAAGTTCCATTATTCTTTCAGTGTAATGAAGTCACTTGGAAGCTAAGAATACCATTCAGAGAACATTCTTTAGCAAGCACAGCATTTGCAATTTAGCTATTTTTTGTCTTTGTTCTCTCATTGGATCACTGTAAAAAGCCTACTTTTTACCGTTAGTAAGAAAGATAATATCTCCACTTTTTGAATCCAATATGTCCCTGAAGAATGTATATCTTATTGCTGCTCAGTTTTCGATTCCATGAACGATGACTATTTATATTGCTTGAAGCCAGTTTTATAGCTGAATTACATTTTAGCCAGATCTACAAGCTTTCTTGACAAGCACAGAGAATGTAGATCAGATAAGTAAAACACATTATGAAACAAAATGTTTAAAAAAGTATTTCCATTCTATACAACCATCTTTACCTTACTGTTAGCATGGTTTCCAGAAGGATTCCAATTATCAGTATGGAAATATGCTATGGGATTTGTGGTATTGAAGATTTCTCCATACATTACCATTGGGTGCACTTGTGCTGAGCCTACTGAGGATGAGGACAGCAGAAAGGCAGAAAGAGAAGGAGACTGAAAAAAGAGGAAGCAGAAGCCTGAGAGAGCAAAATATCAAGTAGTATATAGGGGTTTTGTCATTAAATGTTTAGAAATGGTTCTAGGCCTAAATGTTCATTTCTTCTCCTGAATTTCCCCATATTGAAATGACTTGCTCATATGTCATAAGTTATTGTGACCCTGTGAATACAAGACCACCAAGATCATTTTGGATTCCTTCATCATAGGATTTTCAAGTTAAAAAAAGCTTCAAGCTCTACTGTTGCATTCTTCTGTGCAGTCCTAGCTAGTTATGGCACCAGAGCTGTTGGCCACTCTTAATGGTTACTGAGCATTGACTCGGGTGCCATTTTGTTTTCCAAAATGGGACCCGCAGTTGTGTGCATGTGCCTGGCATCGCATGTGCATGCGCATGACTCCGGGTGCCATTTTGGAAAACAAAATGGTGCCAGAGTAGCGCACATGCATGAGTGATGTGGGATGCCAGTTTGTTTTCCAAAATGGTTCCCTGAGTCGTGCACATGTGTGTGCAATGCTGGGCACATGCACATGACTCCGGGTGCCGTTTTGTCTAAAATGGTGTCTGGAGTCATGTGCATGTGCCCGGCATCGCGAGTGCATGTGTGAGCCACTGGGCACCATTTTATCTTGCAAAATGGCACCCAGAGTTGTACGCATGCATGCATGATGCCGGGCACATGTGCACGACTCCGGACGCTATTTTGGAAAACAAAATGGTGCCCAGCGGCACATGTGAGTGGCGGTGGCAATGGCGACAGGACTGGTCTCAGGCCAGTAGGAAGGCCTCGATGGGCCAGATCCAGCCCACAGGCCGTAGTTTGGGGACCCCTGATATAAAGAGACATGGGGGAGAGACAGAGATTTTAACTATTGCTCCTGAAAAACAGTGCTGGTCTTTTCACACTCATCCTGAAACAAGGAATCTCACAGTAGTTGATTTCTTTTTCTACTTTCTCAGTTTCTCTCTTTCTTGAGCAAAATGTCTCAACAGGTGAAGCTATCTTTCCCTGTGAGGTTTAGAAAAAAATGTGAATATTCTTTATGTCTTTCCTTGTAGCACAACAAAGAAGCCACACAGAGACAAGGCTCAAATGGTGCAGTAGCCTAAACAATGGCCACAGTATCATGTGTAAGCATACAGACCAGAGTGTTTTTTTTATTTATTGTAGAGATGTGCATCATTTTTTGATGAAGTTCAAAGTCCTAGCCATGTTGGACCCTTTCAACATGTTCTGAAGTTCTAAACAATGAATCATTCTTCTTTCTCAGGCAATCAGAAATGAAGTTGGGTGAAACTTTGCTAGACACAGGCTTCAGAAAGGTAACAGGAAAATAGGCTCTTCTAGTTTCTGTGTTCGGTGAAAAATTCACAGTATGAAGGAACAGGAGGTTGGAGAGAACAATGTTGAATGGGCATGTGGAGAAAGGGAGAGAGTGCCACACACAATATCCTATTATGAAATACACAGGTTTCATTTTACTATCCAATCAATCTAACAAAAACAACAACACAACTTCAGCTTGCAAACAACCAATTCTCAACATTTAAATATGTTTCATTTGACTATATCATTTGAATATATCATCATTCTTCTGAGACCATGTCAGATATGATATTGATTGCAAAGTCAAGCTCCCTTAGCAATAAAATAAAATAAAATAAAATAAATCAACTGGAAATATACATCTGCATTTATTCTTTCTTTCTTTCAAGAAGGACTGTCTTCATAAATATTGATAACTGTGGTGTCAAGCTGGATCCTTCTAAAGGACATGCTGCAGCCATGGTTCTGAAATGCAGCTTTGTGTGGTATGATGTAAATGAAACAAAAATCCTTTAGATCAAAATTAGCATGTCTTATGAAGCCCACTCAATGAACGCAAATGCCTTCAGGTGCTCTTATATGGGGGTGCCATATAAATCAATTATATTGTCCATTCTATTTCTCTGACAAGCGGAAAGTTCCAAGGGGCAGAATTTGCCAAAGCTTGAGTTCCTTTGGAAGGATGAATCATGGGATACTTAAGATGGTCAACAATAACTGAGTTTAAAATATCATAGGAATGTAAGACTTGGAAAGTAAACTAATTTACAGAATTAGGTTAAAAGCAACAGGACATCTGAGCAACAGAGCAATTACTGGAGCTGAGAAGGGAGAAAATGGAACCTTTTTTTTTATGGGAACCAAGATCAGATGAAGAAGAATAAAGAAGAAAGAGTCTTTATGGACTGCCAGAAATAATGCAGCTTGAGGCCACTTTAACTGTCCTGGCTCAGTGCTACGGAATCATGAGAATTGTATTTTTTTCTGGGACATTGAGCCTTCTCTGTCAGAGAGCTCTGGTGCCACAATAAACTACAGTTCCCATGATTCCTTAGCACTGAGCCAGGACAGTTAAAGTGGCCTCAAGCTGCATTATTTCTGGCAGTCTGTAAAGGCCCAAAGTTTCTTTAAAGTGTGTTAAAACAGTATAGTTGTTTAAAGTTTGTTTAAGTTGAAAATGTACCATGAATATATAAGTTTAGTTAATGGTCAAAATTAGACTAGGATTTTGGTTCCATTTATACTATAGTATGATATTTAATTGTTTTCTTGTTATATCTGTTTGTATTGTTTGTCTATTTAGGTTATTTGGTGTTTTCTCTATAGTAGATGTTGTAGTAGTAACTGTTGTGTGATATGTTTAGTTATGCTGTTTCATTCATATTGTTTGTAATATTCATTTTAGTTGTTTGTTTGTACCTTTGTTTATTTATGTATCTTTTTTTGTATGTGAGTAAATTTTTGTAATAAAAACCCCAATAATTGAGTTTATTTACAAATATGCATGCTGAGCACAGTTTAAACAGTGACCCA